TTCTGTTTTGAACATCTTAATTCCTTAATTTCTCATCATCCTTTATCATACTTTTGCAATTTATAACAAAGAAAAATTTATATCCACTGTAATCAGTTTTAATTGAACAAATTGGTAAGAATGGGTGAAGACTTCTATTTTTAAAATAACTTCATCTGTAGTTCAAAATTTCGAGGAGTTTTAAGTAAAGAATTGCTTTCAACATCGATTTCAGCTTTTTCTGCCTTACCTCAACACAGTGTTAATATTGGAGAATGATCAAAATGATTATGCAGGGCCTTAAATATGGACTGAAGGAAATTTCGTGCTTATTTCCAAATGTGCATTTGATTATGCTCAGGCTCTAATTATTTTTTTTTTGTTGTTGTTTTTTTCTAATTTAAAAAGAAGGAAATCAAAATATATTAAAGGTTTTTTAACACGTGCTTTTACACCTTTGGCTGTACTTGTGCTTTCAGCCTTCCCATCGTGCTGGGATGAGGAGGGGGAGCTGCCAAGGATGTGATACCTTCTCAGGGGCCAAGACTTTGAGACAGATGGTGCCTGGTGTGGAGGGAGCAGAGTGAGACCAAAGCTTTGGAGCCTGGTGGACTTCCAAGGCCAGCCTGTAACTTGCTGTCCTTGTCTGCTGTAACAAAGCTCTGGGAGCACCTTCCAACCTGAAGTGATTGTGGTGGGTCCAACTTCTTCTGAACTCCGGGTTTTCACAGTAACATCAGCCCAAAAAATGAATGTTTACTGTTTTCATCAAGTCTTAGGCTGACTAGAGAGCAAAGCAAGTGGAGCTGAGCAAGCACAGCCTTGGAAAATCCAGCAGATAGAATATTGATCCTCATCTGGTGGTTCATACCTCCACTTAGGGACGTGGGGAAAGAGCTGGAGGTGGTGTGGAGCTGCTTTCCCCATCCTGAGCTGTTCCTAGGGGGAAGGTATGAGGCTTTGGAGCTTGTGGGCAGCACTGACCATGGCAGATCAGCAAAAGCCGTAACATGCTATGGCCACGCTGGGCATGGCAATAGACTCTGCAACACTGAGGGAAGAGTTAGTTGGAGCTCTGAGTCTGTTACAAACAGATTGCTTGGTGTGAAATGTGAGATTTTCAATCGCCCCCATCCTGGAAAATTTGAATTTTCCATTCCTGGTAGATCTTATCTAGAAATAGATGCCTGTGGCAAGTGATTGGTATCTTCCTTGGCCAGTGGTCCCAGACCTTCTGAGGTGTAACCCTGAATTCAGGTGTGAGTGTGACATTTGTAGTCATAGAATGGCTTGGATTGGAAGGGTCCTTGAAGATCTTCCAAACCTCAACCATGGGCAGGGACACCTTCCACTAGCCCAGGTTGCTCTAAGCCCCTTCCAACCTGGCCTTGGACAATTCCAGGGGTCCAGGGGCAGCCACAGCTTCTCTGGGCAACCTGTGCCAGGGCCTCCCCACCCTCCCAGGGAAGAATTTCTTCCTAATCTTTAATCTAAATCTATTCTCTTCCAATTTAAGACCATTCTTCCTTGTCCTATCACTGCATTCCCTTTCCCTTAAGCCAACCCACACATACCTAGAGCTGTCTCTGGAAAAACTTGATCCTGATTCCACTGTAGAACCTTCCTGCCCTTCCTGGTTGGAAGTTGGGCCTGTGCTCCAGGTGGAAAGACAGACCCTTCCCGCTGAAGAGGAAAAATCGTAACTATGGAATTGCATATAATTAAAATCTCATAAATATTTTTCCCCCTCATTTTTCTGAAAATATCAGATGTGTGTATAATCCTCTCAGGGGAACCAACATCTCTCTCAGTTTATCTGTTTTAATTAAACTGTTAGTTAATTCTTCATTCTTGGGTATAAAGAAGGGGAGAGAAAAAATTATTCAGCTGCTATAGTTTAATGGATTTTTAACAATTACAGAACGAAAAGCAACGAAAATAAATAATACAGTTGTTAAAACTAATAATGTAACAAAGGTAAAAAGACATCCCTGTAGGCTGGAAGAAGTATTAACACAAGCAAACAAATCCCAACAATCCTGAAATCAAAGACCAGCCAGCTTTCTTGTTTTCCCACTAGATGGTCTGGCCATTAATAACCCATTTGCAAGAACATCTGAGGAGTGTGGGGCAGTAGGGGAGGGAAAAAATTCCCAAGAGTTTGAAATTGTAGCAAATAGGTGGTGGAAGTTGGATTTAGGTGTGGACTAGATGTGAAATTTGGGGGTTTCATAGTAAATTATAAATGATGGGTCATTATAGTTCTTGCAAATGGCCCTGGTGACAGATGAAGAGGTGGGGAAGGGAAAAAAGGGGCAGGAAGAAATAACTGGAGATTTTGGGGAGGAATTATTTCAGAAGACTGAAGGGATTAAGTGATTTCCATAGGTAAGAGAGATAAATATGGATCTGCCACCAGCCCAAAGTGTCAGAGATCTGCAGAGCTCCCTCCGACCTCCCAGTGGGGTGAGGACAATTCCAGGAGGAAAAGGAAGGAGAAAAGGAAAATAGGAAACAAAAAAAGCTCATTGCATTTTTCTTATGCCCCCAACAGGTCCCTAAACAGGCTGCAAGGATCATTGCAGGGAATGAGAGAAAATCAGGCAAAATTTTCTGCAAGTGGCTCGAATCAGATAAAATAAAGCCCACGAGCAAGGGCGTAGAGAGATAATGGAGCAGAAACCTTTCTACTTCAGCCCTGCCTTCCCCAGTCACTTTGAGCTCTCTCCATTTGAAAGTTAAATTTCTAATTTTATTCAAATAAAGCCCGGCTTTCTTGTGTTTAAAAGACTTTTGGTCTTCAGGGATCTCACTGTAGGTGATGGTTTCAGCAGATCCACTTCAAAGCTTTGGCGGATTCAGTGTCCTATCATAGCATATCCTAATTAGTGAAGCTGTGGGCCAAATTCCTGTGGGATACAACCCAACAGATACAATAGTATAATACTGGAATTAGTCCACTAAACCAAAAGGGTAAACCTGCCTGGACAGAAGTCTGTGGCAAAATTCCAGTCGATTCCAGTAAATATTGGACTGGGACTTAATGAAGAGGTTGGAAAAAAAAATCTCGTGATTATTTTAGGATTGCAAAGGAAAAGATCTGGAGCTCTTTTGTATCAGGAGGAGAAAAAAAATGTTTTCTTAAAAACTCAGAGTGTATGAGAACACCAATATGAAACCACTCAATAATAAGACATTCTTGTGTTTTCTCAACCTAAAAGAAAGCAGAAGATGTATAATGTGCATATATAAACATATAAAAAGGGAATTTCTCACGTGTACACAGAAGAGGAAGAAAAAAAAAAAGAGTAATATATGGAAGAAAACAGGTGGGAAAAAATGGTACACAGCAGCATAAACTCATTATTCACCATTTTATTGTATGGTATTATTGCTGATGTCAGATGCATTCAGCATTTGCCAGTCTATTACAAGAGAAAATGAAGTGCATCTGTCTTAAAACTTCTAAATCCAAAATAGTCAGCTCTGAAAGTGTGTGTTTTGATACCTTGGCTTCCACGCCACTCAGAAAGCAATTGCATATCAAAATGTTTGAGACATCCTTGCTGTGGCAAACCCTCTGAGCTCTGTGCAGGCTAATAAGGAGATGGCTTTGTGGATACATTTTTGGAGGAGAGTGTATTTGGAAGGAGAAATTGGATGCCGAGCTTTTGTTGTGATAGCTCTAAGACTCTGTATTTTGGCTTCGAGTTCTAAGGCTCCATCTGAAGGAGGAGAAAAGGAGAGAAACCAGCAGAAACGATTCAGGTGTCAAACAAAAAATCTCTTCCAAGAATAAGATTTATTTCACTCGGTAACCCCCGGCCAGAAGTTTGTGTTTTGGGGAAATGAAAATTTCTGTCTTGGTGGTATTAGTAAAGCAAAACCAGCTGAGCACATTCAAACAATGGACAGAGCATGTCTCTGCTAATTTTGAATTTTCTGGCTTTTGTCACTGGATGTCACAACTATAATTATTACTTAAACACAGAGGTGAACTGCAAAGCAGGAATGAAACTTTAGCTGAGAAATGCTGTAGGAAAGAAAAGTTCCTGCAAAGTCGTGCAAAACCTCCAGCACGGCTCCACGTTTTAATTTATCCCTGGTTAAAATTCTATTTCTGCCATCTGCAATTACCCCAGTGCAATGAGATTATCCCACTGGAATATTTATTTACCAGCAAATAATAAGTTTATAAGGTGGATATTGGGGAATTTTGGCACTTCCAGAGGTTAAATGATGAGCAGAGGGTTTTAATGTCTTGGCAGGGAGCCTGGTCCTCACCTGAGAGTGTGGTCAGGTGCTGGGATGTGAGGCTTCCCTTCCCTCTCCCAGCTGACAGATCACTTTTTCCAGTCATTGTGGAGCAGTTTTGTGTTTCTCTAGTCTGGAAAACTTCACATTTTGACAAAATTTCTGTAGAGTGTGGGGTTTTTTTTAAATATTACAGAACAGCCCACCTACAGCAGCATAGAAAAAAATAATCTACATTGAAAAAAACCTTATAAAATTGGTAATTTGAAGTAATAGAATCTTATAGCTGTTTTCACATTGACTTCTAACACAGCCAGGTGTGGTGTTGGGACTGCTGATGGTCTGTGTTCCTTGTTGCTCTTAAACTTTGGGAATGATAGTGAGGATTGTTTAGACTGTTACAGGTTTCTTAGAACTGATCCTTATATTGCAGGATTCTTGTATTTTAGCTGATGCAGTGAACTATTTTGTTAATACACACATATGTATTTATACATGAAAAAAAGAGCTTAATTTGTACACTTTAACCATCCTTAGCAATCCAGTTGTTTCTAGTAGCTACTACTCATGTAACTTGGAGAGCACACAGATGATGTGCCAGATGTGTGGAGGGTTTTTTCATCCCTGATGGACTCGTCAGGATGCAGGAAGGGAGAAGCCTGTTCTAGTATTGAATTGTAACCCTACTCTGGGCTCACACCAACGTGGCAACTATGGAACTTGTCTAGAAAGGTCATAGAAATTGTTCCAACAGAATGCGACAGGTATTTCCTTATCAACCCACTCAAAACTAATGGGAGCAAGAGAGAACAGAGCAAAGGTTCTGAGATCTTGATCTGGAGTCTTTATTGCCTTCCCACTGCCAGAGGGCAGGGTTGGATGGAATACTGGGAAGGAATTCTTGGCTGTGAGGGTGGGGAGGCCCTGGCCCAGGTTGCCCAGAGAAGCTGTGGCTGCCCCTGGATCCCTGGAAGTGTCCAAGGCCAGGTTGGACAGGGCTCGGAGTAACCTGGGCTAGTGGAAGGTGTCCCTGCCCATGGCAGGGAGTGGAAGGAGATGGTCCTTAAGGTTCCTTCCCCCCAACCCATTCTGTGATTCCATGATTTACTGCAATATCTCTCTTGGTGGGGATGGGTTGTGAGCTGATGATTCTGCTGCGTGCTCTGCAAATATCTCTGTAGTGTTTTAACTCCTCATCCTCTAAAGTTTTAAACACATGCTTAAAACTGAGGTTGAATTGTAATGAATGCTTTCTTTTTATCTGCTGCACTGGGAGAAAATAACTCTTATTTTCCCACTTTCTCCATAGCCAGGGCTGTTGTTTTGCTGCACGTATTTTTAATTAAGGACTTTCATTAGAAGCAGTAAGGGAAGACCAATGGAAAACCTGAAGCAGGAAATCAAATGACTCTCAATCACTGATACCTACATAGTTAGTAAAAAAAAAGATAAAAGGACTTTTAAAACTAGATATATTCAACCTTTTTGTTATATTGTGAAAAGACCCCTTTTTTGCACCAATTTCTGTGCTGGTGCTTAAGCAGATCACAAGTGGGAGCAAAACCTTTCCTAAAAATTGAGAGTCCTGGCCTGGGTTTGGTTCTAAACCTGGGAAATGTAGAGTTACTTTTGCATGCAAACAGTGGGCAAAGTGGGTTTTGGGATGGATTAGATGTGGGACCTGCTTCAGGAATCCTCAAATAATGATGAGGTGCTTCCTTCACTGGATGATAGTGTGGCTTTTGGGTGATTTTATAAAGCTGTCCATGAAAAACAGTTCATGTGTCCATCCTTAGACACCCCCTTTTGTTTTACCTGGAGTATCCATTTGAGTTAAGCTTTAAAATGTTATAAACCAGAATCCTGCATGATGAAAAAAAAATTGTATTGGTACCAGTAGGCAACGTGATATTAAGTCACTGACATTCATACATTCTGTGTCTGTTGTATTTCCTTTTTTTTTTCCCTCTGGAACAAACTAAAAAGGCTTTGGCAAGGCAGGGTCTTACAACATCAAACCGTACTGAAGGCAGATTTCCACAAAGTGCTTGCACAGCACAGAAAGTTTAAGTGTTGGCACCGAGACAGGTTTGTGTGGTACAGAAGAATTCTTATATTTGAATGTTTCTCTCTTACAAGCCTTTATATGTCAAACTTTAAGTGGAATTGACTGTTTATCCCAGTTGATTTTGACTAGTGACGCCTTCCAGGTTGGAGGGCGCTCCCTTCACTCTGTTTCCCATCAGCACTCCTTGACTACCGGCATGTGGTGCCAATTTGTTCCTTCTGTACAGAGAAGAAAAGAAGTTTGGATTTAATTTTAAGCCTTGACACAAGGTTTAATTTGCTAAAAAGGGGAGCTGTGCCATTGTAAATCTTGGAGGAGACACCAAGGTTGCAAAAATTGTCAGCCCAATCTGTTTTGAGCACCACTTCAGTCGGGCTATTAAAGGAACAATATTCCTTTTCACAGCTTGTTCAGCTGTGTCAAACCACACAGGTTAGCCTGGAGTTGGCCATTTATTGTACTTTTTATTGCTTTCTGATCAAGTTTGTATGACAAGGGGGAAATTTCTGTGCTGAAAATGATTTATCAATACTGTAAATAGGCAGGGAAAAAAGGTTATTTTTCAGGTGACTAAACCTCAAAGCAGAGCAGCTTAAAAATTTACCAGTGAGACTCACAAAAAAGAATAAGATCATTTTTCTATTAAAATCTTCCTAGACTTACAGAGCTAAAGTCATTGTGGATCTGCTACTATCTTTTGAGAAGAAAACTCTGGTAGAACATGCTGTTGGCACTCAAGTACTGGATTATTACTGGTGTTGAGTCAGACCACACTGAGCTATAAAAATCTTTGGCCCCACGTGTAGATTCTGATCTTGTCTAAGATGATGTAAATACTCCCTCTCCCTTCACTGCTTATTCTGTAGAGGAGGAAAGGGTTTAGCATGAAACTCCACATCTCTGCTGACAATGTGGATTTGGTCATTGGCTTCAGCAGGGTCAGGGTTTTAGCCTCTGTCCTAATTCTTTGTAAATGTTTTCTGAGCCATGATGATATTACCAAAAACAAGGGCAGTATGACGTGATGGGACTCGGTAAATATTTATTTAAACTAGTCTGGTTTAAAAAAAATAATCGTTTTGGGGTTGATTAAAACTCAGATATTTAAAATTCGACCAGCAAAGCTCTAATACATTAATATATACTAAAACCTACACAGTATCTTGCTTCAGCCTCTTTTATTTTGCTTTTTAAGAAATGGATGTCTGACCCAATAGTTCATTTATGCTCATCCGTCACGTAAGTCCTTTTTATTTCTTGGATTAAGTGCTACAGACCTAATAAATCATTGCTGCTCCTCTGGCACAGTTCCAGCTCATGTTGTCAATCTGGGCAATGTGTAATGTTTTAATTTCTGCAAAACAGCAAGTTTTTGTTAACTTTAACTCTGTGCTGTGACTGACTGAGCCTTCAGGATAGCTTCCAGTTTTCTATATATACCGGGTGACTAATACAGTGATTTTAATATCAACAAAAATCATTAATTATAACGTAAAAAACATGCTTTGGCCTAAAATATAAGGGTTATGTTATCCTGCTCCTTCTACTCTTTATTTTTGTTGTGAAGAAAGCCTAAATCCCTTTTAGATGTAGAAAAACAGCCCAAAAGGAGCCTAAATCCCCTTTTACTCTTTCTCATTTACTACATTTCTAAACTACGTTTCTTTTCGTGTTTTGAACATGTGTTTTGCTTTTTCCTCCTCTGCCACGGTTGACTGGGTGGTTAGATGTGTGTACCCTGAAATGTTCTTCAGCATTTATCAAGCTGAGCTGTGGTGCAGTATCTTAAAGAAAGAGGAGAAATTAGAGGTGTGCCATAAGTTGGACTATTTATCAAAACCTTTGCTTTTTGGGCACATGTGGCTGGAATGAAACAGCACCTGGTTCTATATTTCCAAGGGCTTTTTTAAGCAACACAAGCACTTCTGCCAAAACAGAAGAGAATGTGGATCCTGTTTTCTCTTTGCATGAGGAACAAGGTGGAATCAGGGCTAGACAGGGAGGGTGGGAGCCAAGGTTGTGGCCCTGTGTGAGCTCAGGAGCACAGGAAAACAAGCCCCTCTCACTGTGCCATTCAAATATCAGCTCTTACATCCCCAAGCACAAGCATTTTGATTTTTTTCCCCAGCCTTAAGGCCATGCTCTGTGTTGTACATCATCCTCCTGTTCCAGATGAGGGGATTTATGGAGAGGAGGTGTTGGGTGCTTTGCAGGAAACCGTGTAGCCACTTTATCTGTGCACAGCTCCTCACTGAGCAGCTCTGTATCCCAGATCTTTTTCTCCTGGTGTTTATAACAGGATAGTTACTCCTTCTGAAGGTGAGGGAGGAGTGCAGTTAGATGGGCTTCTACAGCCTCTCTGATAACTTGTCCCACTCCACTCCTTAGTGGAAAGATCCATTTAACCTTTGGCTGCTCTGAGTCAGAAATCCTGCTTTCCCAGTTTCAGGTATCACTAGGGTCTGACACAGGTCTGATGGAGTAAAGCACATTACGTTTTAATCACATAACAAAGACCATTTACGAACAGCAGGCCACTTGTAAAATTAACCTGAATTTATGACATCCTACTGCATTTCAGTGAAGAAGATGGATACTGCAGAGGAGTTGATTAGGCTGAGATTCATCATTCCTCTTTCTAGAGCTGAGTTACACCAGGTACTTTCTGCTAGTGAGCATTATGTGTTTGTTTTGTTTGATGATGGCATGTTTTATTTGTTAATGGCATGTTCTATTCGATGTTGGCACTGTAGATTTTAGTGCAGGGAGTAGTTTGTGTGTCCATCTGATCTAGAAACCAGCCTCAGATCTGAGCAAACCATTCCCACTGAAAAAAGCCTGATGACCCAAGGGCAGCCCTCCCTCTGTGCCAGGAACAGAGATTTAACTCAGCTGCCAAAATCTGGGAGTGCTCATCTCCCAATGCCCTGCTGAGAGCGGGAGATGCTGTTGGAGAGGGGATGTTTCTCTTAGAAGGAGACCTCCCCAAACTCCCTTCTCATCCCAGTTGTGCTTATATTTCCATTTAGGGCAAGACAACAACTGTGGGATTTCTGCAAGGTCTTGTGATGAAGCAAAATGTTGTTTACCTGCAACAAACAGAGAGAAACCGTCTCCCATGTGGCCACCAGGAATGTCTCTGGAATGATCTGTCGTTCCTGGATGCAAATGGCATCCAAAGGCACACGGTGCTCGTGCACTTAACCAAGCACATTCTGAAGGCAGGATAATTTGGAAAGATGACCATTTATAGAAGATTAGTTGTCCTCTGACCGCAGTTACAATTATCTGGGAGAACAGATAGGTCAGATTGATTTAAGTTGCTTTTTTTGGTAAAAGCAGTATATTCTGGTAAAACTGGCCGGCGAGGAGATTTGTTTCCGTGCGGGTGCGTTTTTTCAACACTGCGGGGAAATAAATGGTTATTTCATAAGCTTGAACATCCATCTTCGGATTTACACAAATTTAAAATTATATTCCTAAGAGTTTGTGACGGGAGCCAAGAGTTATTTTCTGCTTATTAATCTTTCTCCCCGATCCAAAAACATCCCCAAACTTTGTTTAGCCGTGCAGTCTCTTCAGACTGTTGATTGTGCTGTAGTGGGGCTGAGAATGTTTCAGTTTATGTAACCAGGCCCTCTGTTTAAATTTCCATGACAGATCTTTTCATTTTGTTTACAGCCAAATAACAATGCAAACGTGTCCTGCTCCAGCCGTGGACGTGGTGTGCGGTCATCGAAAAGGGCGCTCACCACATTGATTTCTTGATCTTATCCTCTTTAAAACTTATTTAAAAGCATTTCATTGTTATTTGCCGGCTATTAGCGAGCAAAAATAAGCTTTCCTTATTTACATAAGGATGAGAGCTGGTCACTGTGTCTTCTTGGCTATTAGTTGTTTGGTTAATCACAAAGCTGTGTTATTACAGCCTATTTGTAGTTTGCAGTTCAACCACACATGGCACGGTGGTGAAACGTTTTCCTGCAAACCCAAATGCTTAAATAAAGTCATATCTTTAATCTGTTTAGAGCCTTGCAATATTTAAAATGGTTTGCATGGGTTTGATTATAGAGTTTTACGTAGATGTGTCGGTGGTGTGGTGTTTGGTAACGCGAACGTCAGCGCGAGGCAGATTTGGGGCAAAATTAACGCTCAGGGACAACTTCCAAGGGAATTCGTGGAGTCTCTTCTGGCTTTTCCATCTGGTCCTTATCATGCAGAGATGTCCAGTCAGCAGTGTTCAAGTTGTTCTCAAAATTCTTCCCCAACCTTTCTCGGCACAGAAGACTCTTGTTATATATCCTTGATGAGATTTCCGAATCTTCCTAAATCCTTTCTGCTCTTAAGGAAAATAGAACAACTTCTATTTGCTTTAGTAGAATTAATTTAAGTGCTTACTTAGTATTTTAACACAGATTTTTGAGGTAGGTTCATGGCACAGTCCGAGCTTAGGCTCTATTTCTGCCTACTGCAAAAAACATTATATCCTAAAATTCTGTTCAGAAATTCATCACCCTCTGTCTTAAAACTGGTTGAGTATTTTCCTTCTGCTGCTTTCCCTGTGGTGCATTCAGGAATGATGTTCCTGTTGTGTTTTTTTCTGATATCCAGCTGAAACTCAACAACAGCAAGTTTATACCCATTCATACCTGTGCCAAGACTAAGATCTCTTCATTTGCCTTTCTGATATCCTGAGCAGTCACATTCCTCACCCACTACTGCTTTTCCTGGGATTAATGTGCCACCTTGAACTTATACATTGTATAACTATATTTAATTCCATTTATATTCATCTGACCAAGGACAGATGATACATTTATAGGAACTATTACTACCTTTCTGTGTATGGTTGATACCCAGTATTATTTAATCACCAATAAACTTCACCACACTTCTCTTTATGACAAAAATCATAAATGAAAGATAAAGGCTTATTTTAAAAATCTTATTTAAGGAGCTTCCCCAGTATCTCCCCTCCAGTTCAAGAGTAAAACCTATTGAAGCTGATGCTTCACGTTGTTTATTTTTCATTCTTATTTTGCTGCTTTCCACCTCATTTCTCTTTCTTCAGCTTCAGTTTCTCCTTGATGAGTGCTGTGTTTACAGTAGATTTTCATTGTTCTAACAGGGTTGACTATCACTGTCTTGCAAAAACAATTACCATCTACCTCTTTCTTTTTCAGAAATAGTGTATTATAGAGCATATATTTAAAATTCCCCAGACAAATATTTTTTCTTTTTCCTTTTTTTTCCCTCTCACTTATTTTTTTCTGCATGAAATTTAGTGACTTAAATACTGTTTGTTCAGGATTTCTGGATATCTGACTACCAGGGAAACACGGTAGATCCAAATGGTCCCCTGTAGGTTTGGAAATTCTGGAAATGCCCTTTGCAGAGAACAAGTGCAGTGGGGCTTCTGTTCCCAGGAAATGTCCAACCAAACAGCATCTTCATGGTCAGGGCATGCACAGTAAATCAGTTTTTTCCAGGAATCATGAGTTTTATGGACTTTATATGACCCAGTGTGTGCACACAGACTCCTTTTTGAAAAATACTCATCAAATGGGTGACAACCATTGTTTACTCCACTTTTTGCATGCTCTGGAAAAAGAAAGAGGAACTGTTTCAGTTTTTGTGTTGTATTCCCAGCGTATCAGTGGCCCCAAATAGGGAGAGAGGGTTTAAGCTGTGTCTGCTTGGTAAATTAAAACATGTTTATGTGCCTGGTTTGCTTTTTATATAAAATTTTTGCCTGTTTTCCCTAGAACTTTTATTTGGGTATTACTCAACCTGGGATGCAGCTCCACAAGTATTTTGATAGCTCAGAGTGTCTGGCTGTGGATAATATCAAGTTCTGAGGTGGAGACGGATCTGTAAGATCCTTCTTAACTTCATAAGATCATAGAATAATTTGGGTTTTGTTGAAAAGGACCTTAAAGATCATCTCCTTCCACCCCAGGGACACCTTCCACCAGCCCAGGTTGCTCCAAGCCCAGTCCAACCTGGCCTTGGATGCTTCCAGGGATCCAGGGGCAACCACAGCTTCTCTGGGCAACCTGTGCCTGTGAAACATCTCTGGGTGTACTATTTTCTGTGAAAATACCAATCTCCACAAAGGTGAGCAATTAATTACTTCATGCTGAGGTGGAGGTCAGAATTCAGATGGATGAGATGATAAATGTGAGTGGTGTGGAGATGGCACAAAGGGTAAAAATTCCATGAGGCGACTAAAAAAATCTTGAATGACTGTCGTTCAATTCTTTCAGCTACAGATGATTAAGTGCATCCCCATTATATAAAAACTTTTATAAAGGAGCCAAAAATGTTAAGTGAACTTGCAAGAAATGAGGAAGAATATAAAAAACCCAGGAAACAAACCTTTCGGATTTCCAAGAAACGCTTTTTCTTTGGAAATAAAACATGAAAACACCCCCCTGTTTTCTGAACAAATGCATGTGAAGTGTGAGTGACCAAGGGATTAATTCTTCCCCTGCATAAACTCAGGATGAAATACTCAAATTCTCAACTATATGAACTGCTCAGCACCTGAGGACATTAAATAGTTATTGCAAGAGGAAAATGTGGAGCAGAACTATCAGGCAAAGAGAAATCCCATCCACATGCCTGAGAAAACTTCAGGCAATGTCTCAAAAGGAAAGTTCTGGAAGAGCTCTGCTAAGAAAACAGAAGCTGTGAATTGTGCCATGTGGTATTAAAGAATTTAGAGGGCACACTGAGAAGTTCCATATCGATGCTTTTTCTTAAATATATTCAACAAAGGGCCTATTTCCCTTCAACACTTTCAAATTTCAGCTTTCTCTCCCTTCTGCTTTTTAGCAGAACCACTCAAAAAAACCCCAAACTTGCACAGTTATAACTTTTAGTGTAAAATCCCTGGATTTCTTGCTTTTTTATTTTGCTGCTTCTCAATTGGTTTAGAGAGAATTTTCGAGTTATAGCCTAAAAAGGGAATATTAAAAGAAAGAGATTATAAAAGCAATTGTAGAAAAGTTTGGGAGCTCAGAACTTGTAACTCTTGTGGTAGCTACAGCAGGGCTGCACATGAGAACATGTCATTTTGTTCTCCCACAACGCTCTAAAGTAGAAAAAATAACTTATTGAAGCTTTGATTTCTTCTCAGGACTTTGCTGGTCCATCAGTACAAAATATGTTTCCAATAACTATGATTGAAGAAAGAAATTCAGACTTTCGGGCTCCTTGAATAAAGAATTTTAAAAACTCATTGTCTGCTCAATTTTGCTTGAATTTCAATTACTACTTGGTGAATCCTGCATGTCTAGAAGTGTAAATCAGTTCAGGAAGTTTGGGATTCATTGTTTTATCTGATTCCATGGAAAAATCTTAATAATTGGCCACTGGGATTGAGTTTCCTGGAACAGGCTGAGTATGGGAATTCTCCAACTCTAGTTTGGGTTTTTTCCTGCTCCTAATCAGAGCTCACAACTTTAACTTAGATAAGTTGACAGTTTTTGTTGCTTTCTTGTGTGGGTTTTTTAATTTTGGTTTTGTTTTTATATAATAGAAAATGATTACTGGGGGTTTGGCTTGTACAGGGGTCTAAATGGATCATTCTTATCTTGAAATATTGTAGGGGAGCAGAACATCACGCAACAAAAGCAGCTTCAACCTTCAGACTGATCAACAGCGTCTCACTTGTAAACTTTTGTTTGCAGAATTTATTTAGTCTGGTTTTTTTTCTTGTAGTTACAATGAGATCTTTGAAACAACTGTTGAAATGATGGATTAATGAAATTTTTGGCAAAAATGGATGTTTCCCTAGTGCATATTTTTGTTCATTAAACACACAAAACCTTGCAGCAGGAAAAGAGTTAAGTTTTGAAATGGCTCAGAAAAAAGTTGTGCTTTCCTGTGGACATAAAGTAAATTTTCTATACTTTGTGATTTTAATAATAAAAGTAATATACAGGATAAACTAACATTTAAGGAAAGCTATATTTTAACCTCTCTGGCTTTTCATCTGCCGTAATAGATGGGAATTTTCACTTCTCTGTCCTCTCAATTGTGTGCTGTAAAACCTGTTAGTGTCACTGAAGATTATACTATGGGGAAATTTAGTCTATATTTTACATATATGAAATTGTTAAAAACGGTGTCACATTCCTAAAATGATTCTGCAGGACAGTAACTCATAGGAAGCTGCTTTTAGACCTTTCAAGGTATAATTAAACAGGGAAGGAAATGGGTGGGAGAAAGCCTTGCTTGCTCAAACAAACTAAATGCCCTGGGGTAAAATTAAATATACAAAAGGAATAAAAAC